GGATTTGTAACAAATGCATATTAACACAGCTCTGAAACTAGAAACAGCAACAGACGATTTGTCACTTTTTAAAAGCCTTCAAAATATACGGCAACCAAGTTATCTAATAAGTTAGATGCAAGCTTGAAGAGCATAATACATATAGGAAAGTTTGAATTATAACTTTCATAAGTATTTTGATGGAAGGGAACTGTTGGATACGAGGGATGCCCTTTAAGATATGGAAATAAAACAACACGGTAGGTAGTTTTAAATGACTTTATTGTTTTTCGAAGTATTCTCTACGAAGATTAATACACATCTGCATGCGCTCGAACCAATTTTCGAAGCACTTATTCCACTCGTTCGCTGGCCGATCCAAAACGGCATTTTTGAATGCGTCAACTGCTTCTTCTGCTGACTGGAAGCTTTGACCCACCCTGGGATCGTCGCAAAGACCCGTCCACGTTTTAATTCTCTATACCAACGGGAAATTGTCGACTGATGTGGCGCTGCGTTGCCGAAAACAGACAGTAACTCAGCAAGGTATTCTTGTTGCGATAATTATCTCTGCAAGTTGTAATAAATTATGGCACGAAAATGTTCTCGGTTGAGTTCCATTTTTCTAATGACTTGGTGACACTTAAAAATTCACTGTAGTGTTGTGAAACTTTGAATTTACTAAAGAGTGAGGTTAAGATTCAGTACTGACGTTCGATCCGCGCGGCCTACTATGTTTCTGTATGCAAAACTTAAAAGACATCCCCTCGTATAGGCGGATGACCATCGTGAAAGAAACACTTTTTTTAATGAAAAAAGCAGCAGAAATAACATACTAAAAGCTTAAAATGTGTTTGTTTGGAATGCATTACATAAATAAGGATATACATATACAAAAAGTTATACCTAATTTGGAATTTGCATTTTTTCAGAATACACATATTACAGGCATATGTACCGTGTAGGTATGTGTAATAACCGTGAGTTATTTGGTAAAAATGCTAGTAATTTTCATTTGAACAGATTGTTTTTTTTTATAATTATTTAGAACAGCAAGTTGAACTTTAGTTAATTTGGTAAGTGTGGCTGTACTGTCTTCATCTTGCTGAAAATAACGTTGCTGTCTAATGCCTCTTTAGTTGTCACTAGGACGTCTTCATCGTTGTCTTCTAGTTCTTCTTTCTGTTCGTTATCAACGGATCCTTCATTAACCAAATTGGAGTCTGACAATTCCTGTGTTGCTATTAAATTATTGTTGCATACTCATTGAATTTGTCTAAGGCTTGTCCGTAAAATAAGTTCCGCTGGCGCTAGGATCGTTTATATGCACAGCCAGGCAACAGAGGCAGATTGTTTGGTTCCCCCACTCCAATCCCTCACCAAGCCAGCGTCGCTGCCACGTTTAGTCTTGGCTCAGCAGCCGTCAGCGATGGAGCTTCCTCTTGCGTCTCCCGCCAGCTGCGAGTTGCGGTCTGTTATTCGTTACCTGGCCGCTAAGAAGAAATCGGCGAAGGAAGACTGTATGAGCTGCGGGATGGTGCGCAGATGGGTCAGGGACTTTAAAAATGGCCGAACAGACGTCCACGACGAAGCCCGTGCAGGGCGGCCATCGGTTTCCGACGAAACAATTGCCAAAGTCGAAGCGGCAATGCTTGAAGATCGACGGATTACAGTTCGGGAGCTGTACACAAAGATTCCGGAGGTCAGCAAAACTACAATTGACAAGATTTTGACTGAACATTTAGGCTATTCAAAGGTCTGCGCAAGATGGGTACCAAGAATCCTCACTGCAGACCACCGGCGGCAGCGGGTTGAAGCGGCCCAAGAATTTCTCGCTTTTCACGGAACAACCGAAGAGGAATATCTGGACTCTATTGTTACTGGTGGCGAGACCTGGGTACACTACACCACACCGGAAACAAAGGAGCAATCGAAGCAGTGGAAGCACTCTTCTTCACCAAGAGCAAAGAAGTTCAAACAAATCCTGTCTGCCGGAAAAATCATGGCTAGCGTTTTTTGGGATCGAAAGGGTGTATTGTTGTGCGAGTTTATGCCTCGCGGGACAACAATCAATGCTGACCGGTACTGTGAGACCTTGAAAAAACTTAGACGTGCCATTCAGAACAAGAGAAGAGGAATGCTGACGAAAGGAGTGCGTTTTCACCATGACAATGCCCGACCGCACACCGCCAATCGAACCACAAAATGGTGTCTCACCCACCCTAGAGCCCCAGACTTAGCACCAAGTGACTTCCATCTGTTCCCTGAGAAAAACCTTGGCGAAACCCAATTCCAGACAGATGAAGAGGTGCAAAACGCGGTTGTTAGTTTTCTACACGGACAGGCGGCAGAGTTCTATGACTCTGGTTTGAAGACGTGGGTGCCTCGAATGCAGAGATGCATAGAACGCAACGGCGATTATGTAGAAAAATAAAAGAAAGACTGAATTTTTTGATATGAAAAAAATTTGTGGAACTTATTTTACGGACACGCCTCGTATATTCAGTAAACTATTAATTTTTAGTAAATCACTTGATGGAATTTCATCTTCTGAATTAAAATCGTCGATTATTTCAGTTATGTTTTCCACTAAACCATCATGACGAAAGCAATTAAGAATCATTTCTGAAGTAACCAATTCCCATGCAATAGTAAGCAAATTTATAGCATCTAAAATGGTGACAGCTTTGGAAATGTGGACATCTTCTTGAAGCTCCATTATTTTCATCAACATATGTTTCGGATACATTTGTTTAAGACTCCAAATGACACCCTGGTCCATTGGTTGCAGAAGTGATGTCACATTGGGTGGAAAAAATTGAAGGTAGATGTTATTAAGTGACATATTTGGATGAGCGGGGCAGTTATCGACCAAGAGCAAAATTTTACGATTTTTCTTAACAAGTTCAGCGTCCCACTTTTTTAAATATTCTTCAAAAATTGATGAAGTCATCCAAGCTTTATTATTTCCAACATAATCGACGGCAATTGTTTTATCATTTTTGAAACATGGGATTCTTACATTTCCCTGAAATAAAAAAGGTCAAAAATTCTTTGCAGCACTGCCATTGAATATCAAAAAAATTAGAACATGAATTTCTATTCGTTCACTTATCTATTATCAATAGTTTTCGTTTTTCAGTACCAGAAACATTAGCGCAAATCATAACAGTTATTCGCTCTTTTGATAGTTTCCTTCCATTGCAACATCCACCTTTTAATTTATGAGTTTTATCTGTTAGCATTCTATAAAATATCCCGATTTCATCTGCATTAAATATTTTATCATCTGAATGATCACTGGATATTAAGGGCCAAACTTGAGAAATCCAGTCATTGGTAATGTTCTTGTCAACTGAAGCTGACTCACCACACATCTTTCTAAAAACAATGTTATGTCTTTTCTTAAACCTGTCAAATTCTTCAGCCTTTATTTGTAGCATAGGTCGACTTAATGGGAAATTATTAGCACGCTTTTGTTGAAACCATTTAAACAGCATATCATCGACTTGGGGATGCAGCGATAGCCGCATTTTTTCTTTTGACTATTTGATTTCCAGTCGTTTTTAATTTTGTCACGGTTTTTCTAAATATTTGACACAGTGGATTTTTTATAGCCATACGAGCACATATATTTGCTTGAGATGTACTCTGCTCAAGCTCACTAATTATTGTGAACTTTTCGTGTAAAGTGAATGCACGTCTCGCACTTTTCGACATGTTTATAACTCTAATAAATACAGTATAACACTGGTTTCCAAGTTCGAATGCAAACTGCGAAACCAAACGATTGCATCAGCTAAATCTGCTTCGGAAAACTATCAAAATAGCTCGCATATAATGGATTAAAATAGTCCACTATAAACAAGGGTCTATTTTAAGCGGGTCTATAATATCCGACGATTTTACATGCAATTATTTATAGGACCTCAAATTGTGTCCATTATATACGGTTTTCCATTATAAGCAACTTCATTATCAGTGGATTCCACTGTACATTAAAAAACAGATATCCTGAACATTATTGTGGAAGAAAAATTATCGTATAACGATATTGCTGGTGGAAAATCCGTTTATAGGAGAAGCCACACTGTGGCAGCAATAAATAATGGGTGATTCATTTATAGGTACTTTTTTCAGCAACAAAATAAAATAAAAAAATTCTTTTTTCTTGTCAAAGCTTATATTAAAGAAAATAACTATTTTTGACATTTTTTTTTTAAATATTATTTCTTTCAAATCTTGGCCCTGACTGCGGTTGAGATGGTCCATTCTAAAGTTCCAATTTTCGATGACACGTTGGAACACTTCGACTGGAATTTGGCGAATGACCTGCGTAATGTTGGCTTCTAATTCCTCAATCGTATTGAGCTTATCAATGTAGACTTTGGACTTAACGTAGCCCCAAAGGAAAAAGTCTAGAGGTGTGATATCACATGATCTAGGTGGCCAATTCACTGGTCCAAATCGTGAAATTGAGTGTTCATCAAAATGTTCTCGCAATAAAGCCATGGTTGTACGGGCTGTGTGGCAAGTGGCCGTCTTGTTGTAACCAAATGTCATCGAGATTACGGGCTTCAATTTCAGGCAGCAAATAATCTGTTATCATGGCGCGGTAACGAGCACCATTCACAGTTACGTTCTGACCGGCCTCAGTTTTAAAAAAAATAGGGACCGATGATTCCACCGACCCATAAACCACCCCAAACGATTGTCTTCGCTGGATGTAATGGCAGCTCTTGAACCACTTCGGGTTGTTCTTCACCTCAAATACGACAGTTCTGTTTATTAACGTAGCCGTTAAGCCAAAACTGGGCCTCATCGCTAAACAAAATTTTGCTCGAAAACATCGGATTTTCTTCAAGCCCAAAGACTGAAACGATGACGCTTTGGAAGGTCGGCCAGCTTCAATTCTTGAACGAGTTGAATTTTGTATGGTTTTAGATTAAGATTCTTACGTAAAATACGCCAAGTTGTTGAATACGACCAGCCAAGCTATATTTTCTTCACTGCGTGCTGGATGTGGTTCATTTGGTCGGGTATTATCCAATAATGAAAATTGGGTTTAAAATTTTTCGACCGTACGACGAATTGTGCGTTCTGTGGGCCGATTATGTACACCATAATTTGCTCTAAGTGCACGAAACACACTTCTCGCAGAACGTTGATGTTCGTAGTCTTTCCATGATGAAATGTCGAACAATACTGAAACAGAAAATGTCAAATTAGTTGTCATGACGCATGCGCCATAAACAATTACAGCCACACCAAAAAAGTACCTCTAAATGAATCAACTGTTATAAGCAAGTTCATTATAAGTGAAAAATATAATTTGAGTTTTGGGACTAAGATGCGTATCCTTTTAATCACCTGGCCGACATGTTCTGACGATCTGAGACGGCCGTCTAGCACAACACCTAAATACTTCACGGTACTTTGTATCTTATGCACTGAAAGATTAGGCAACTCGCTAATACGACTGCATCAAGAAGTCATGCATGGGGCCACGCAGGCCTTGAAGTTTCTTGAACTGATTTGAATTTTCCCATCTGAGCGCAGAAGAAAAAGAGAACTAGCACCACTCTATCTGCATGAAGTTTGTCTGGGCCCAGGCGCCCCGACTCTGCCTAAGTATATGCAAATTGAACCGAAGTGGCTTAAGAATATATATTAGAGTTAGTTACTCGCTTGCAGATTCTAGATAAAGGGTTAGACGTTCGCGGAGCCTTGCCGGCGTAGAAGAATTAGCACTGCGGCGAGCTGCAATTACAGAAAATAAAAAATGGAATCTGGCGGAATGAAATATTTTTTCTTGCTGATTGTCGCATAGATTAGACTGGTTCATTTTGAATTCAGAATTTATACTTAGCCGGTATGAATACGCAGCTTACGCGGGGCGTAAGGCATTTTTAGTTGTTTGTAATTTATAAATGTTTCAAGTTATCAAAATAAATTCCAAACGATCAAGTATAAAAAATGGACTCTGCACTTCCATGCAACGCTGCCATCAGGTGTATGTATGTATATTATTTTTAGTGAAAATGATAGTAATTTTCACTACTTTAGTTAAAACATTTTGTGTGGTTTAATATGACTATTAGGTGCAGGTATTAGCCTAAGCGCCAGGGCATTGCAGAGCTTAAAGAAACTCTGTTAAGCCCATTTTAGAGCTGCCTACGGCTAATAGAACTAGGAAAAGTCTCCTCACTGTTTCATAATCTCGATACCCTAGAGGCCAAGGAGCGGTTGTATCGGCCAGTTCTGGATGTACAAAGTTCGACACGGTTATCATGCTAGGCCGAAATCAGGCGGGTCTGTTTAGCAGGCACATAGCGCGGTCACATCATGGAGGAGAGCGCCATTTAAAAAGATACAAATTTATTCGAAGCTACTTTTCTGGGATACCCTGTACATAAAAGAATATTGTAAGTAAAACTTTATATTACTGCCTATAATTGTTAAAGAATTTTTTGTACACAAAAATACAAGAAAGTTAGAGCGGCGTAGCACCCCATACATGTTATATACAGGGTGATTGACAAGTCGTGACCAAAAATGAAACATCATAAACACGGCCGCATTTTAACGGGGGTCTTCTATGTAACATTTTTTCCCCTATGTCTTCATTAAAAACGATACGGTGTTGAAGTTTAAAAATAAAAAACATTTTTTTATATATTTATATAAACAGGAGGCCTTGATACCAACTTGACGTTTCTTCTACGAGCCCCTTCCCACTTCAGTTTGCCCACTTCAAGATTTGTACCAAAATATGCCTTTATAAACTAAACATGACGAAACTATTTACTTCTAAAACAATTTATTTTCTCAAACAAATTTTAGATACACTCTAGTCGTAAAAAATACATATTTGAAATCACTTAGACCTATAACTAATAGAACATCTGAACAAATAAACAATGTGCGAATAAATGCGCGAAGTTAACAAAGCAACAATTGAAAGATTACCATTGGGTAACATCACCTTTATTTTTTATTACCGTTGAAATTCTTTGGGGCATAGTGTTAACCAAGTTTTGACAAAAATTTGGTGTAAAACAATCCCATATTTCTTCAAGCTTTTGTCTCAGTTCGGTGATTGTACGAGCAGGATGTTGTTGTAGAACCTTTTTCATCTCGTGCCACAAAGTTTTGAGGTATGGCACGCTGCACCATCTTGCTGAAACACAAAATCTTGGCCGGATGTCAAACATTCTTCCATCACTGGTAAAAGCGATTCTTCTAAAATTGCCAAATATTTGTTTGTATCCACCTTTCCATCAATAACATGAAGTTTTCCTACTCCTTTTGATGACATACTGCCCCAGACCATAATGGATGCTGGAAATTTCACTTTTCTCTTAAGACAGTCAACATGGAATGCTTCATTTTTTTTACGAATCACTCTACTGCGACTGTCACCAACACAAGCTTCGAATCGGGCCTCATCACTCCATTGTATAGCACTATTGAACACCATTGTTGAGTTGTCCATTGTCTATGTTCTTTAGCCCATCTAAGCCGATTTTTCTTTTGCAGTGGAGTTAATAGTGGCTTTTCTTTGGCATATAAACAAGTTGTGCAACTTTAGGGTTTTTACTTCACGTTTTTTTATAAGAAAACTTACCTTGCAAGTGCTAAATCCCAGTTTGTGGGCCTCTCTATGAGTTGTGGACCTCGAAATTCTCGTTCCAACAGCGTCACTCCACAGAGCACTTAATTGTAAATAATTGGCACGCCTGTTTTTCACGATTATTCTTCTTAATGCTCTTCGGTCAGCAATTGTGATATTACTTTTTTTCACATATCGTGGCTTAATATTAACTGAAACAGTTACGTTACATCTTCTAACAATATTTCTCACACTGTACCGCGATAAGTCTAACAAAGTTGCAATTTCTGAGTTTGATTTCCCAGAATTAAAAAATTATATCATCAGTAACCGAATTTCCTCACTAATAACCTTTCCTCTACCCATTTTGAAAACCTTAACTACCCAAAACTATTTTAAACGTATTCTGACAGCTGTGATTTATAAAAACAATTGTCATGGCTTTTATTTTTCACAGCCACCTATGCATTGAAATGAAAATAGGTTGATATGCTGTAATTGCAACACGTGTTATTTTTATGCTACAAATTTGATTAGGGAGTGATAAAGTCGGTGTTTTCTACGATATATTATCAAAATATTCATTGTTAATATTTTAAACCTATAACATCCTGCTACATTTTTAATATTTGTGTTTGATAAGAAAAAAACTAAGATTTCAATAGTTGGGCCAACTGAAGTGGGAAGGGGCTCGTACAACTACCATTTTTTTTTTGTAAAAGTCAAGTCAAAAGTTGCTAGATTTCCTGACAGACGCCAACCTACACCAAAGGTTTTTACGCGTTTATTTCTAAGATATCTGCAATATGGAATTGCCAAACTTCCCGAACTTAGAGACCATGGTGTCCGCGATATTGTCCAAGAGGAACTGGAAATGATTAATTTGACATTGGATGATCCTAGTACAAATATGTACTAGGCAGATTGCAGCCCAGTTACCGTGTTCCCAAAGTCTTGCGTGGAGAATTTTAAATCGGAAAGTTTTACATTCTTACCACCGGCAAAATGTGCAATGCCTGGAACACGGCGAAATTGTTACTGCAAATGCATAATCAAAATGCAGATTTTATTTATTTGGTTTTGTGGTCAGTTGAATCGCTTTTTACAAGAACATATTCGGTCGTTATAAAATCCCCGTTCTGTAAGAATCCACACGTTTGAATACAGATTTTCTAGAAATGTCTGGTGCGGCATTTTCAATGGCCAACAGTTTGTGAACGTATTGCCACAATGTTCAAGTGCAAACTCATACTTGGCTTTTCTAGACAATTACATAGAAAATATGTTAGATGATGTTCCGTTAGCATATAACACACATGGTTAAATAATCATTTTAGACAACGATGGATTGGCAGAAACGGACCCGTACATTGGCCTGCGAGGTCTCCTGATTTGAACCCTCTGGATTTCTTTTTGTGGGCGCTTTTAAACAACTAGTGTATGTTGAACAAATTAATACTGTTGCTCAGTTACAATAAATGATAGATAATGCGTTTCATCAACTTAAAAACACAACAAACTTTGTGCAAATACGTTTTTCTTTATTAAAAATATGCCGCTCTTTTTAGTAGGAAAAATAATGCCACCAATCCCCTGTATCTCCGCCGCTGGTGCACGTTAATTTTAGGTAAAGACTTTTGAACGTCGACAATACTTAGGTAAATCCACATACCAAATTTCATTTCATTCCACTTTCATGATATTAAGAAAAATTGTTTATTTTTAAACTTCAATATCTTTTTAATGAAGCCTTAGAGGAAAAAATATTACATAAAAGACCCCCCCTTAAAATGCGGTCCTGTGTATGATGTTTCATTTTCGGTCGCGACTTGTGAATCCCCCGTATTATCCACAAACTGATTTTCGAAATTCCTTGCTATTACAATATTTCCTCCCCTGTGACGTGGGTAGTAAAACGGACTATCCTAATAAAAACTATAACGGCATGAACGAGGCTAATGAGACGTCGCGATACATAAAAGCTATCTGCCACACAGCAGCTGGCTAGTCGAGGCGATGATATTACACAATGACCGCGCTTTTCGCCGCCCTTTCCGTCAACACTATTACTCTCGGCTGCGTTCTCTAAAAATGCCCTCTTTGTTCGGAGGTTGTGTCACCAGATAACCGCGCTCATATATCTTCCGAGACGTCATCCTCACCAGATACACCGGGGATATCTTTGTTAAGGTGCGCTGGCACTAAATCTACTGCCAGGCAGTGCAATCCCAATGACAGTTCTTCTTGCTTGTAAGGTTTTTTGACACGCTAACGACCAGCGCTAATTTTTTTTTTTTGCTTCTGGACCAAGGTATTTGGTTTCCCAATTACCCAACCTACTAAACGCCACATTTAAGTACATTACATCTGTGTCCCTATTAGACCCATATGACTTGAAAAATTAGCGTTGTCTGTGCCCACATAGGAACACACGGTCTGTGCAGAAAACAGTGTGCACGGCGGCTGGCCCTTAAGTTCTGTACAGCTGCAGAACTGCCGAAACTTTTGCCTTAACACTATCCACAAACAGATTTGGTTCATTACATCGAAAGTAAAATTTAAAAAAAAGAGAAAAAGGCATACTTTCCAAACCCAAATGCACCAAAAAATTATTAATCTGAATTAAAGATGGAATAAAAAAGAAATGAATGATTACGTAAATTATATGTTTGGAGGGTTGAGTAATAATGTTTTAACTTT